TTCCGCGAGATGATGTTCTTCTTTCTAGCTTATTAGCAGCCATATATAGTTCTTTTGCATGTAAAATGTTATTTAGATTTTGAATTCAGTGTGTTTTGGAATCCAATATACCAGACTCCGGCAGTATTCGATCCTTTGGAGAATATATATATCCCCTACTTCCCTCAACAATCCTTCTGTTGATAAATACAACTCGATCATATAATCAACATCCATCTTAATTAACAGCACAAATTAACCTGAATAGCTCTAAGTTTGGTTGGGAAGTAGAACAACGGCAGCGTCAGGCCCATATCTTCATTTGGTGCGGGCAGTACAATCGGTTGACGATATTGCAAATATAATGTTCGTCAGCTAACTCCTCGACAGCATAGGAGACCAATAGAAGGACATAACACGTCCACTGATGCCGGAAGAAATGATAGGGCCCCTCCAGAATGTCGAACGCCATTGGGTCCAATGATAGGAATAACGGGTCATGTCAACCTTTTTTTAAAAAAAAATTCGGAAATAAATTTGAACTCCATTGATTGAGTTTGAGTAAACGAAGCAAAACTAATTATGACTCCCCATTCTTTTTGACAATCCTGAACTAGTGCAAACATTTTGCTCGCAGAAGCTCAAGAGTGCGATCTTGAAGAGCTCTCACACCATGTTTGAAAGTCAATGTAACTTCTAGAAATATCTATAAATATCATTTAAGATTATTTATCTTGATAATATTCTAAAATAATATAAAAATAGTAGATGTCTAAGTACCTATAAAATAATCTAGATATTTATAATATTTAATATTTTATCTAAAATTATTTATAAACAAATTTGAATATCTATAAGGTTAAATGGTTATGACGTTGATTCATGTCAATAATTCTACAATCTATAAATAGGGGTGTGATGAGAGAAAAAGGAAAAAGTGTGAGGTGAGGTAAAGAAAGAGAGTTTAGAGTGAGAGAAAGAGAGATTAGAGAAGAGAAAAATAATGAGATAAATGTGTAATATTGTAATTGTATTTTATATTAATAAAAAATCTTAGTGTATTTGTGTTAGTTTAATACATGGTCTGCTCTGTAGTGTGAATGATATATGACCGACCTTGCTGCCTAAATATTATTAAGCACCAAAAATTTATAAAATAAAAGATAAACAGTAGTATTTTTATTTAAAGTATTTATACTAGAAACAGCAAGGGTCAATAGTCATGATCTTCGTTTCGTGGGGAAAACTCCATCTAGAGTCAGTTGATAGGATTGTAAATATAATGTGTATCTGGTAAGTGGTAACTCCTTAGCAGCACAAGAGATCAACTGAAGAACATAACACCTCAACTGATGTGAGAAAAATGACAGAGACGCATCCGAAATACTGAATGTTGTTGGGTCTAATAACATGAATGACAGGTCATGTTGACTTTTGTAGAAAAAAAATCCGAAACAGATTTAATCTCTATTAATTGAGTTCAAGCAAATGAAGCAGAACTAATTATGGCTCCTCAATCTTTGTAGATTTTGTCGGTAAAAGCTCAAGAGTGCGATTTGAAGAGCTCTCGTAGCATCATAGTGTTATTTGGTCCTCTTGTTCTACAAGAAACTAAAAAAATGCATATAAAAAAATTAAATTTTACGAGAGAAAATAATCCCACTTAAGAGGAGAGATTATCGAATCTTCTATCTTTGCAAGATTAGTTGAAAATAAAAAAGAAAGCAAATGAAAAGCTTTATAGATGTAAATGGAAATGATAAGTAAATGATGCATTTCTCAAGTATTTATACAAGAAGTAGCAGCAGTTAATACTCTTACGAAAGTTATCCCATATAGTTGATCATTGAATTAACATTTGGGGTATACATAATATTGTTTTACACCACCAAAGTTGTTTACTATAGTATTTTCGAGTCTCATATCCATCAAACAACATAAAAGTATCATTGTAAAAAATTTGAATACTTAATATTTATTAAGAAGTTACGATCTGTTAATAAGATTTTTAAAGAGTATCAAATATGAATTTTGATTTGTTTTAGATGGAATCCACTTAAATTCGAATCGAATCAAATTCAGGTAGATTAAAAGTGTAGGACAATGAATTTAATTCACAAATCAAATTTAAGAAGTTACGATCTGTTAACAAGTTGCTCTATCACTCGGAAAATCTCATATAAACTTGTTAAATTGCATTCAAATTCACATAAATTCATAAAAATTTAATTTTACATTGAGTCGAAGCCCTTGGCTCATTCACTATCCTTGCCTTTGTTTCTTGGTTTATTTTTCTGATTTATATAATAGTATCCTATAATCAGCTTCTTCAAAACCAATGCATTCTTCAAAAAGTATTTCACAATTTCCATCTCCAAAAACCCCAGGCAATTGTATTTCACAATTTCCAATAATATATAAATCTTTGCCTTGACATTGAAGTAATGTTAGTTCATGGTAGTGTTGTATATCAAATGGACAGAAATTTAGCTTGCACTTGCGACACACTTAGAGTTAGTCACCGACTCTTATTGTTCACAAATTTCTCGCATAATTTTATCTGTTTACATAAGGTACGTGTGCATTGTCAATAAACTAAATAAACAAATATCTTCTAATCATTCTAGACCATTCGAAATAATAAGCAAATATAACTTATCCTGCATACGATTGAAAATCAAAGATGGAGACTCTCTTATAGTAAATGCAGAGGATCTTAAAACCTACATTCATAAAATTCAATTTTACACTGAGCAGAAGCACTTGGTTCATTCACAATCCTTGCCTCTGTTTCTTCATTTATTTCCTTAGTTTTATGATGGTGCCCTATGATCAACTTCTTCAAAACCAATGCATTTTTCAAGAAGTATTTCACAATTCCCGTCACTCTCCTTCCATCAAGTCCTCTTATTCTGTCTCAAGTTTGTTGTATAAAACACTTGGTAACAAATTCGGCTGTAAGCTATCATCATAATTTCCAAATCCCTATTATAAATAATAAGAATATTAGTTAGATTAATATAAAGTTTTCCTAACGCAAACCGAGCAACTTCGATGGTAAATAAATTATTATGATTCCTTCGGGTCTCAAGTTCGAGTATAAAAAATATCAGGGTTGTGAGTGTTCAAGGTTCAATGTCAAATAATATATCAAATAATTGAGAGTTATCTTCATATCTTTTCGAGAATCCAAGAAATCAAATTAGGTGAATGTGTCGATTGTTGGGACCGTCGACTCACCCCATGGCACAGTGGAAACAAAAATTCGACGATCTCACCAACGATCCAAGTATGATAAACCGAAATCGGGAGGAAAGAATGTGAATACTTAAAGCGAGTTCCTTGAAAAACAGCAAGGACAGCATCGACTAATGGTGGTGTCGATCGATTCGAATTGTAAGCCTCCACAAAACCACGTCTCGACCTCTATTCAGTTTACCCGATTGAGAGCAATATTTGCTTTTCCCAAAACTGTTTTGAGAAAAACGGCTGAAGATAATGTGTAAAAATGGTTGTTAGACCTTACATCTCCTTTTATATCCAAGTTACCCTAACATATTAGGGATTTTATTATTTCAAATTAATTAAATCTTTATTTATTTAATTTAAATTAAATATTCGGGATTATTAAAACATATGTATATTAAACATACATTAACTCTAGATATATTTTTAGTAACGTACAAAAAATTGTACATCTTTGCTCATTTCAATCCTAGGGTGTGACCATGTAGGTTCTTGTAATATTAACAATAATTATTAGAACAATTCTAATATTACATACAATGAGTGACATCTAGCAATATATCATTGTCATCTAAGTTACAAGAAAATATGATTCGACATATCATCTTCGTGATTAACTCTTTTATGTATTACATCCTTTTGTCCTTTATATCTAGATAGGCACAAGTCTTGGAATAATCACACTTGTATAGCCCATCTATTGTTTCTTGATATCTAGAGTAGACTTTAATTAACGAATAATTTGTGATATCTCATATCAACTTATTCGAGCATGGCCATGTGTTTCTAGTCTCATTCAATCAAGTGGCATGTGATATATTTCCTATTATGTAGGAAGGACAAATCCTATCTTAATCATACACACCCACTACATATATCGAGATATATTCAATAATAGTCTTTATAGGGCAATCAGTTACGGAGCTTGTTTAACTGCATCAAAACATACCACAATATATGTTGGGATAATATTGATCTCAAGTCTGAGGATCATACATATAGTCATCAACATGAGCAATGTTATGACTGTCACATAATAATCCAAGATATATGCTCATGGTGGGTCAATCCAATATATTGTTCTCTAACAATATAATCATGTATCAATTCTGACATATCTATGTCAATTACAATTCGTTGTCATCAACCAATAACATGTTAGTCTTAAGCGTATTATTATTGTTCATGCCCATAATAATACTTGACTAGGGATCTTTTAATAATAACAATTATGTTATTATATGGACTTTATTATCTTTCAGTTTATGTTAAACACATATATATAACTGAAAATAATAGCAGCAATGTCTTTATTCAATAAAATCGATAAATAAAATGTATCATTACAATCATCATATGATGATCTTTGGATGTATTCTAACACTGATAAGAGAGACAAAGCTTGATGATCATTCGAAGATATTCCGGCTTTAACCTCAAGATGCGTCAAATTAGGCCAAAGTAAGGTCCATTCACAGTTATTTTTGCAAACTTCATACTAAACATCATACATAAAATTAAAATCTGCAAAATTAATGTAAATATTATATCAAATTTGTGAGACTTACCTTGAACGTGAATAACGTCATCTTCTGTCTTATACCAGAGATTGACATTAAAAGATCGAAGGAGATTCAAGAACGGGATAATACATGATTTGAATCACCATGTTCATGTATCCTACTAGGTTTGATGTGATACTCTATGTATAGTGCCTTGATGATAACTGTGGGTGTGGATATGTCAGATAGAAGATAGCAACCATCAATTTGAAAATGTTCAAACCCAGGGCAGCCGGAGAGAAGCCTGTTCATCAAGTTACCGCCCGACGATGGAAACCGATTGGAACTGGAGGGTCTTAAGACACCGGAAGAACACTCGAGTATTGATCGGAATTTTGTCGACAACGATTCGACCTATCAATAATTAAGTTTTCGACACGAGAAGATAGTAGGAGTTAAATAAAAAAGAGACCTCTCGGATAGATAAATATCCAACTCTTCAAGATTAGAACAACCTGCTGCTGCTGTATCGATCCACTTAGAAATTAGAGAATTACTGCATAGAAGATGGATAGTCCAAAGACGAAATCTGCGGATGATTGACAGTTTTGATGGTTTTGAAGGCATTTTCAATGAGTTCTTCGAAGCTGTATTTTGCATATTGATTGCGGCAAAAATAAAGTTTTGATCATTGTGGCACCGGGCGGCAGGGGTTATTACCTGTGTAGTAGCTCAAACGGATGTCCGGCGAGGAAACAAGTCGAGAGGAGCCGCGTAGATCCTACAATGTTAGTGATCACTTACTCTTGCGATCATAATCACCCTTGGCCCGCTTCTAGAAACAATAAGTCCGCTGCTAAACAAGGTGCTGCGGCGGCGGCAGAGGCTGCGGAAGAAGCAGAGACGCCAGCTAAATGTACGGAAGTTGTAAAGCGGGAGCCATCTACGACGCATCCGGATACTGAGCCGGAATCCGGGATGGAAGATAGCTTCCCTGGTTTGACGGACGATTCAATTCTTACGACGGGGGATGAATTCGCTTGGTTTGGGGAGATGGAAACGACGTCGTCGACGGTTTTGGAGAGAACCTTATTTGCGGAAAGGGGTAACGGAGAGGCGGATGACGCGGCGGTGATTTTCCCGATGAGAGAAGAGGACGAGTCGTTGTTCGCCGATCTGCGAGAGTTACCAGAGTGCTCGTTTGTGTTTCGGCACCAACGGAATGTGGGACCACAAGTTGGGATCTGCTGACACGCGGATAATTAACAACTAGCAAGTGGCGGAGTAGTTGTTTCCATCGTCGTCCGGTACCCTTTGGACGGCGAGACAGAAATTAAAAATATATCCCAAATTACAAACTCTATCCTTATCTTTCATGTTCACCAACATTTGTCGTCTGTTTTAGGGGGTTAATTGAAAATTTATCAATTTTAGCTCGCCTCAAACCAGAACTTGTTTTTTTTCTTCTTCTTAAACTCGTTAATATATTCATTTTCTTTTATAAATTTAGTTTTTTTTCGCATTCGAGTTAATATTTAATCAAAAAATGTATTATAATATAAATAACTAAATAAAATTAACCAAAATTAATATATTTTTGTTACTTTAAAATTCGTAATATTTTTATAATATATTACAGAAAATAATAAAAAATAAAAGGAGTAGTTGAGAGATTGAAGGACTGAAGTTAATATTAACAAAGGATTAAAATATTTTAGTTTTTTGTATAATACTAATTGGTTAATAATTACTATTAAATAAAATAATATAAAAGTTTTATCAGCACTTAGCAGTGGTTGTTAGTTTTGAGATAATTTTAAACTAAAACTTTTCAGGGATTCGGGGAGTCTAAGGAACGACAGCGAAACATACACCTAAAAATTGGCATAACCAAAAAGTTTAAAAGAAACTTAATAAAATAGGTTTAGCATTATCGAAAATGTTGAATTAAGTATAATATATTAGGTTGCAAGGAATTTAAAATAATTTAAAAATGGTTTAATCAGGTAACTTATTTTGTTGTTAAGTATCGATACTAGTTTTCGAGAATATCGATATTTTCTAAATTTATAACATTTCATATTGCAACCTAATATTCAAATAGCAACGAACTTATTATGTCGTCTTGTGAATGAATAAGGCCAAATCAACTTAAAATCTGGTAACATTTTTTCGGCGCAGTCGTAAATGTTAATTATATTAATAACATTGACAATTTTTAACTTATTCTGTGACCGATAGAAGAGAAACATTTTTAATTTCAACCAATATTATTATATTAACAGATAACATTTTCGGTTTCTAGATAGGACATATTGTATTGAAAACTGATATCGATATTTTCGAATGTTATAAAGGAAGAAATCAAGAAGGCTTGAAAAGTATTGAACATTTCACATATTTCGATACAAAGGGGAAAATATCGAGTATATAAAACATATTCGGTTTAGGGAAGGTAAAGTCTAAAATCAGATAAGAGAAATAAGGGTATTAGTCTTTAGAATCCATTTTCCATCTGAGCAATAGGCATTATAGTGAAGAACATAACTGAAATCCCAATTCGAAGAACATATAGTTATGTTTGTGAAACCTTAGATTGAAATTTTTTAAATTAACCAATTATGATTTAGGGATTAAGGTATAATTTATAAGGGAAATATGTAATATAATTGATCGATTAATGGTATAAATTGAAGAAATGGAAAAGTAGCGGGGTTAGTAAAAACAAGTAGAATGTAACATTATAGGTTGAATGGAATAAAATAGGGTTGTAGATGATGGTTATTATAATGATCAGTTATGGATATAATTAGTTATGAAATGAGATGCAGATACATTTTACATAACTGTTTATTACAACAAATATTACTGAAATCTATATTGTAAAGAATGAAAAGGAATGAGAAGAAGAATATGGAATCAAAGGTAGAAAAACTATTGGAGGCAAAAATGAATGATATGGGAGGTTATGACATATCGCCTGTTCTTCGAGAAGAAGATGACTTGGAGGATTGAGAGACCAATGAGACAGAAGGAAGGCTGAAGCAACCAATGGCCCCATATATGCACATTTACTAAGTAACCATGTATTTGTCTAACACTTATTTAACTGGTGGTTATTGATTAAAAGTATTTTAGATGTTTACATTGATGACAATTTTTGAAATGTTTACAGTGTTAGTGAATATCGATGGTTGAAGGGATTTTTTTGATAAAAAGGTTGGTTATGTATGTATGTAAAATGAATTGAAAACGTATAGAGATGGAGTATTATAGACATTATTGATAAAGAAAAGTTGATTGCAGGTGAGGAAAGAAGCAGCGGGGAAATGGAAGTTGATGAATGAAGAGGAGAAAGATCCATATGTAAAATTGTCGGATAAAAATAAAGAAGTATAAAAGTTATGGAGGAGTGCACATGAAAAGAAGGTATGCGTCATACTTTTAGGATTATATAAAGTTGTAACTTGTTTTATAAAGGTTGTCTAGAACATAACATAACAATTTGTTTGTTTTTAAATAAACGTAGGAAGTGCCGACAAGTTGTAGCCTGATAAGAATGCATGAATTGATGGAAGAGTTGAAAGGAAAGTAAAAACTGGATGTTGTTAAAGAATTAAGATTTGAGTCTTTGATTAAAATAAAGGCACGACCAACTTGTATGGAGTTGTGTCGAGACTTGATAGAAAATTTTGATGTAGAAAACCGTAGAATCGAGTTTAGTGGATATTCATTTCTATTGGGGGTTTAGGAGGTTATAGTGGTTTTGGGGTTGAAAAATGAAGTGGTTTGTGTTAAAGAAGTAATTGAGGGGAGGATTTGAAAAACTTAGTTTGACGTATAATATAAAGACGAAGGTTACATTTAGTTGATCTCGAGAGAAAAATAAAAAGTGGTAAATATGATGGCGATCAACTAAAGGCGAGATTGTTGTTGTACATGGTTGGAATATTTCTTTGTCCAACGGGTGATACAAGCCCGAGCAAGAATAATTTAAAGTTTTTGTGTGAGGAAGGGATGAAATGTGAACTAAATTGGGTGAAATTTGTTGCGGACAAAATGATAGATGCAATAGTTAGCTTTCATAATCTCGGAAAGCACATACATCTAAAAGGTTACATTGCAATATTAGAGGTAAATGAGTAGTAAATATGTCTTTTGTTATAATACTTATTTAAATAAATTGAATTGTAGGGATAAAATGATTTAGTTCATATTGAATGCAGGTTGTGTTATTTGATTTCTGGTCGAATTCTGCAAGTGTGCCCACTGCAAAAAAGATCGGGATGCCACATATCCTTGTATGGTGCTAGGAAGATGTGGTGCTGATTATAACAAAGTTGAAATTGGAAAGACCAAAAAGGAAAGAAAATGTATGAAAAGTCAAATTTTGTTATTATGCATTGGAAATTTCATTTACGACAAAGTTGAAAAGTTTGATTAATATTATAATTTAATTTTGAAGGTTCCTCCCATGGACGAAGAGAATATTGAAGATAAAGATTCTGGTAAGGGGAGTTGTACGAATGAAATTGTGCTATAAAAACTTGAATTAGTTATGTATGAGTTGCTGCACAATAAATGAAATGTTTATGAGGTTCATGATAGACAAGTGAGGATGAAGGAAGCATTTAAGACCCTAAGGTATGATGGATTGGAGTTTGTAGAAAAAAGTAATGCAAAATTTGCTGGAGTGGTGGAAGAAGTTGATAAAATGAGGGGTGAAATTGGGGGAGATGAAGTGTTGTGTTGGTGATCTTGAAAAAATTTGTTAATGGATGGAGGAACTAAGAAAGGGTTTGGCGGTTAATGAAGTAAGTGAATTGAGGGTAGAAGTGAAAGAGTTGTTCGGATCGATTGAAAAGAAAATTGTTGATATGGAAAAAACAAAAAAAAATGATTTTTTGAAGGAGCGAATCTGATAGAAGAGAAAGATGAACCAACAAAATATCATAAGATTGGGAGGTGTCAGCTTATGAATTTAGGACACTTGATGTATGCATTGATGATGAAAATTGTTCTAATTGTGATGCACCGATGAAAAAGTAAAAATGTATGATGAGTAATAGTACGTTCAGTTGAAAATGTTTCTTGTAGTGTTTTGACTATTATAAATTCAATGTAGTGTTTTGACTATTATAAATTCAATATTGTAGGTTGGAGGATGTACGAAAAAGGTTAATGGAAAGTAAAGTGGAAGATGAAAAATTGGTTAGAAATTAAAATGATCAGTCCGAAAGTTATGTAGAGACATGATTTGGGAACCAATTGTGGATTAATATTTGTTTGGAATATAAATGGGAAGAATATTTGTGTGCTTCATTGTATGTATTGTTTGAAACGTTTTGTACTTGTTCTTTTTTATTTTAATTGTCGTAGGTTAAAATACCAATAAGGATTAGGAAAACGAAATATGTGTATTGTGATTTTATCTGGAATAGTGAATTGTAAAAGTGGTAAGTATAACCAAACATACTTTTTACCTAGCGATGTTGTTGTCAAGTTTGGCAATCAAAACATAGTAGTAGAGGACACTAACACATTAAAACCGGAAGCATGGGTTGGCTCAGGGAGTTAGAACAATTAAATTGAGCAGTTTGTATTTTGTGTAAATTGATATTGTTATGGAAATTAGTAATTAATTATATTTTGATTAACTTTGTTAGGTCATTGATATGGTCGGCTAGACTGTGGTGTTCGAATCTCATAGTGGGTCACATGCATCAAAGATTGTGTACTTTCCTTGCAACGTAACGGTGAGTTGAATTAGTAAATGTTTATGTACATTAATATAAAGTTATGGATGGTAAAGTAGTAACAAATTAGAAGAGGGATTGCAGTTCATGCTTTTAGGTAAGAAATTAGATTATAAGCATATTGCAGAGGTTTATGGTGTTGTGTTCAGAGACTATGCAAAAGTTACCAACTGTGATACAACAAGAGAGAACACCTTTTTATTTGTTCAATTTCATGATTTATAAATAAATATTGTATTATGATTAACAACCTATGACATGTAATTGTGCATATCATTTCACCAATGAATGACAGTGCTAACCTTTGGTTTTTAGTTGTTTTGGATTTGAATTTGAAGCAAGCAAGGGTGTATGATACTCTTACTTCGTCGAGGAAAAAAAATTAGACTGAAGGTAATGGAGGAAATGGTGATTAACTTGTTGGAAAATGTTATTTATTATGCATGTTCTATAATTGATTAAAAAAGGTGATCTGAGATTTTTTTTTTCAAATGCATTTGAAAATCATTACATAAAGGTTTTACTCTTCCGATTTTTAAGGAGGCATTTGGGATGCCTAAGGTACCAATAAATTTTTTG